ACATATTTTATAAGCACTACACACAAGATGCTGTTTAACAACATTTGAACTTTGACACTTTGAAAAGGGTTACATTTAAACTTACCAGTGAAGGTAAATACGTGCCTTTTTAGCCAAATATAGTCTAAATAAGTCTGTTGTATGTGTCTTTATCCGATGTTTTCTTTTGAAGAAATAGAACTGTGCAGACGTAAACAGAGGTAAAACCCACGCTTATTATTTTTATCTGATATGCTGATATTCTCGGAATTGTAAAACAAAGCAAAATAACATATTCAAGGGACTGCAAATAGATTTATTGTATTTACATGGGTGCGGGAACTATAAGAGGAACTGACACTGAGCATTTTCAATATTAACTTCAATAGTTGTGAAAAAAGAGGCGACTGCTGCAACCACACTGTATTGTAAACTATAAACATGTTATTCAAATAGAATTATTGGTAGGGACAAGTAGGTTGGTGCCAAAATGTTGGTAGAGACATGTCCCTATGGTCCCTATGCAAACCTACGCCCATGATGTAAAAAGAGTTTTTTGGGGTAACCAGGAACTTGGGGCCCTAGGCAGCTGCCTAGTATTTCCTGATGGTAACCCCCTCTGATCACAGCCCTCTGAGCTGAGCCTTGGAGGAGTAACAGAAACAGCTTCCACATCAAGTCTGTTCCACCAAACAACAAGAGTTTTTCCACTGGAGCTGATGGAACTGGGTCCATTATCCGCCTCGCTGTATTTCAGAGACACTGGAGGCTGTTTAGGATCTGCTGTATGTTGATAATAGGATGCATCAGTTACCTATGTAGCCCTGGGATTCATCAGCATCTCCACCAAACGCAACGGTGCACCCGTCCATGAGACCCATGATCCTCCTGAACTGCCGCTGACTGACAATGCGGCCATAGTCGTCACTGGTCTTTGGGCTGTCGGCGTAAAACTCCTGCAGAGGCCCCCAGGGACCCCACGGAGAAACGTTAGAGACAAACAGAAGAATCCAAATCATTGTCAAACATTTACAGATTTCATTGTGTTTTTGTTGTAAACAAAGCAACAGAATGGAACCTCTTTACATATTGGTTTGCCAGGACAGTTTTTGATACAGTTTTAAATCAAGGTGTAAAGGTGCGCGCAGTCAAGGCTTCATTTGAACAACAGAGTTCGGTGTGGAATATCTTCTGACCTTTGGACAATTCATTTTACCAGATGTACTTGAATGTATCATAAGAAACGCGCTCTCACAGGTATAAAAACTGACCGAGAACATAGTTCCCACATGTCTGAAAAAGAACGGATCCAGAATAGGGCTGAAACAATTAATCAGATAAATGGATTATTTAATTTAGTATTCAATTCATGGTTAACTGGAGTATAGAGACTGTAAAACAT